CAAGCAGTCAGGGATCGCCTATTGGGCAAGGATATTTTTTTATCAATGTAGTGATGTCTAATTACGTCTGAAATTCATAGATCATATTAAAAGGAGTAGTTTAAGATTTTTTTGTAATCGAGTACCAATGAAACTCCATATCTTTTCCTTGGTTTTTTACTTACGATGGTTAAAAGTTATCAAGCTCCGCGAGAACTGAAATGTCTGCTAACCCAGTTTGTTTGAAAATATGAGATGTTTGAAGAGCTTGCATATGTATTATTAATAAAAATATGATGATTGTTACAAACAGAGATGTGTACTAGCATTGTGCAATTTTGATAAATCACTAAACAGAACAAAACCAAACAGAATTATATTACGAAATGAACTGTTAAAAGAAGACGTAATGTGTGAAGCGGAACCGACAACGTAGAACGGTGAATGCATAAGATACATTGTGAAAAATGTAATAATAATTCAGATCACACCTTACGTCGGTAAAATTGGTAGCTATAGTCTACTTAACAGCATTATCGGAAAAAGAAATCTGAATATCACAGTTTAAGGTACAATATTATGTGACAATAGATTATGCCAATAATAGTCCACATGATTTTATGATATACTAGCTGTTAACCGCGGCTTCGCCCGTGCGGCCAAAGGGAATTAATTATGGGTTTTTTATTATACATCAGAATATCTGGCAGATGGCTGAATTTTTTCCTACTTAGTTGACACTTATCATTACCTATATTTTGGTCAATTCACACAATATCTTTATAAATTATAGCCTATGTGTTATTCTGATGTATAAGCTATAATTATTATTGTTGTTTCACTAGAATCCATTCAGTAGTATTTGCGTGAAAGAGTAACAAACATCCATACATACAAACTTTCGCGTTTATAACATTATTAAGGATAAATAAAAAAATGGAAACTTCGTAAACATTAAATTTACAAGATAAAGCCTGATGCCGAAACATCTCAAGTAACAATTTATCTATTAAACTCACTTTCGGCACTTTTTGCCTATTATATATCAAAATACGTCAATACTTAGATATTCATTTATGGCGCGATATTCGTTTATACCTTGGCGCAGTCGCCAAGGTATTGCCTTCGGTGTCAGGGATCGTGGGTTCGATTACCACACGGGACAACTATTTGTGTGACCCACAGATAGTTGTTTCCCATCTGGGTGTTGGTCCACGTGAAATTAATGTTTGTAAAACGTCCTTACAGCACATGATAATATTATCCTAAAGTAAGCAGTATCCTAAAGTAAGAAAGGGCAGTATTTAAAAAAATAGCATGAGCAACTGAAATAATAATAAATTCATTGACAAAAATCACTTTTTGGGTAGATTTGTAATTAATACCATTTTTTAGGCAGGGCTATATAATGTTAAAAACCTTATTTTTTCTTGATTCGTTTATTATTTATTGAGCGCTATTAAACTTTACCTCCCCTAGTAAGTCTCTAGCAAAAACAATGAGCCCAGAATATAGATAGATGGTGATAATAATAAAACATGTTACACATTGATACTACATTTAAAAAAATAACTAATGTATCAGAGGTGAAAACCATTTATAAATGTTCACTGCTTTTATGCAACCGCCCCAATGTTAATGAATGTTTACAAGGTTAATGAATTATATGAGTAGCGTTCTTGGCAAAACTATTTGCTCTGATGTTTTTGTTTATTCGTAACCTCTTATTACCTTGGAAATGGTAATAATAATGTATATGGATCATGTAACAGGTTTTTTTTTCGAGAAATCAGAAGTTTTTGAAATGAATTTCCAAATTTATTTTTTAATTTTCTGTGCCTGCCTGGGTGGCGGTTCACCTGATGCTCGGGCATGGACTATGACATGTCTATAAGGCAAGCCGGGCTTCCAGACACGTAAAAAACCCACATAAAATGTGGGCCCCGGTACCTTATCTTTGGTTTGGTGAGTGAAGAAAGTGCAAATGAGCGGAAAGTCGATGGATGTGAAGTGTGTGATGTGTCAACTGCTGTTGCACGAATGGGCAGGCTCGTCCGGGTAAGTACCACGACCTCATAGAAGACCGGCGTCAAGTGGAAGTATAGTACTTTCGCGTTTCGTCTACTGAGTGAGGTGGCGGGAGCCCAATTTTCAAAAGGTTGTCAACGCATCTGAAATCCGACGGGCGGCGGTATTCACTTAACATCAGGTGAACGGCCTGCTCGCTTGGCAACTTGTCACATAAAAAAATGCAGGTGACTCAGGATCGTAGTTCGTGGCAGTCTATGGAGGAGGCCTACGTTCAGCAGTCGACTCAAACTAGCTGAAATGATGATTAAGATGATGAGTGAAGAAACGCGAAAGTATATACTTTCACTTTACACTGGCCATGCATGAGGCTGTCTTACTTCCCCGGAGGTGCCTACGAGTTTCAATGCGTGGCCCTACAACCTACGTTATTACATTCGAAGATATTAATTTTCTTATTAAATTCATTAGTGGAGTTTGAAATATGTATATCCCGATTTCATAGACCTACATTTGTTTCCGAACGATACCTAAATAACTTGAAAACAATATTGGCAGAATTCTTCTAACAGAAGCCACATGAGAAAGAAACCAACTAACCAACCAAGTTGAAAATAAATATCTTGTAATTTTTACATCCCTTGCACCTACTATAAACTGTAGTGAATGTTTAGAGTATAAAGGAGAATGCTTTTGGGCATTAAGTCCGCCCTTTGTTAATTTTCTTAAGGTTAGCAATAAATCATAAATAAATAAATAAAAAACAATGGAAAGTGGGAAAAGTCCAGAACCTTCGCTTTTCAATCAGTTATCTTATCATAGGAATCTGAAAATGCAATGACTACTTAATTATTTCAGGAGAATATTGATACAAATTAGAAACTATTCAACCTTTTGTTATATAGCTAATGCTAAAATCATTGATATATTAATTGTTAAGGAGACATTCTTCAATTATGGAAGAAAAATGCAGTGAAAATTAAGAACTTCAAATAAGACCGTGTCTATTAAATTAAACTACGAATTTAGAATCCCAATTATATACTTCACAAATCTTAATAAAAGTTAGGATCGGATTGATTTGAGGCGAATTTTTTGACGAAGAGTAGATTGGTCTCAATATCAAGAATGAATTTGGCATTCCTTAGAAACGTCAGATATAATATTCCGTTTTGATTCGACTGATGATTCAACATTTTGCAACAACATCGTTATATTAATAAGTATTTTATCTTTACTAAACATAAATAAATAAAGAAATAAATGCTTCATGAATAATCCTACAAATATTCATAATAATGTTGAATCTTGCCTAATTAAAACATATAAAAAACCGGTCAAGAGCATCTCACTCGCCCACGAAGGGTTTCGTATCATTATCTATACAAACGGCAAAAAATATAATTTCTGTTGTACACTTAAATATTTTTTATTCTGTTTTTTAGTATTTGTTGTTAAAGCGGCAATAGAAATACATCATCTGTCAAAATTATAACTGTCAAACTAACACGGTTCATCAGATGCAGCCTGGTGACAAACGTATAGACAGACAGCTAAGTCTTAGTAATAGGGTCCCGTTTTACCCTTTGGGTACGTAAACCTAAAAACTCTTATTACAAAATCTTGGTATCGTAGTATTAACAATAATAGTCGAGTATCTAAATTTTAAGACAAAATGGAAACTGTTGAATTTTTTTATAGTTTTATTTACTCGTGTTAGACAAGGTGTCTGAAACGCGTAGTATTTCAGAATAACAAAATACCAAAATTCGATCAACAACTTTGAGTGAATTTATATATATATACCCCATAAAATTTTGCATTACGTCTATGGTTAGTTAGGTAATTATGATAGCCTCACGCAGTAATCTATGTGGTTAAAAGAATGGGAAACAATCGAAATACTTAACAGATACCTTCAGTGATTAGAAATCAATTTCCTCCATAACCATATACCCGGACTAGCCATTAGCATGTAGAAACAGCAAATATGCAACACTTGAGCCGCATGACTTGAATATACTCCTAGAAGCGGCTTCACTTTGGTAATACCTAATTGGCCAATGAAAATTATGGCCTATGTAAAAGCAAAACGTCGTAGGATGACTGCGAAATCCCCGGTCGGTCAACTGACTACCAACCTAGCCATTAAAATTCCTTTGCTTTAATGGTTGCGGAAACAATAGTGTTTTTTGAATCGGTGCCTATATGAACATAACTGAAACTTCGTGAACGTGTTCCTTCTCAAACTTAATTTCGTTGTTTGTAGCGTTTTATATTTGTTTGTAGCGTTATTGTAGCATTGTAAAAAATAGTATTACATGTATGTAAACTCATAAGAGGGTGATGCAACATTTTAATCATAACAGGATGAAATAACACAAGAAAACTTGGTTTATACTAATGAATAATTATGGCGAATGGCCGAAGCAATTAATTATTAAGCCCACAACTAAGGTGTAATTTATAAAGATTACGTAAAAGAGGCTAATGTACTAAGTTTCGACGCAATATAGGAACTGGGCCATATTATTATACATTTCGCAACAACTTACGATCCACAAACAACGAGGTGCCTTTAATTGCGTCCGTTAAACAATAGACCGGAAAATGATAGACGAGTGTACACTTTTGGCAGGGCCATGTTTTATTCTTTTTTATATACAAAAATTGCAATTTTCCTTTTACAAAACAAAAATTACTTGACAAGAGACTTTTTCATACTAAAGTAACAGGTACGTCAACTCAGAGCTTCAACAACACCGATCAATTTTCGATCGAAACAAAACAAAATGAAAAGAAAAAAAAAGACTACAAAAAGAGTATTGCATCAGTGCGAGTCATCGATCCGGAGTCGTGGGGTTTCTCATCCAGAGATCTGGCGACGGCCACTATCCGCTTTGATGGCGACCCCCACGGCTCTCGTTCGTAAGTTACAGTGCTAATCTTATATTTAGATATCACAATCAGGCGTCTGCTTCCTGCAGCCATTAGTAGCTTCCATGATGGCCATACTCGTGTCCATGGCTGACAACAATCGGTACTGGCACCTTGACGGGGTAAGGTACGGGTTTCTCGACGTGGACGGGCACGTGTCTCTCGATGTGGACGGGGTAGGGTCTGTCCACGGGGATCTTCACCGGCACTGGTACCGGCCTCTCAACTGGGTACGGGACGTGCTTCTCGACGGGGTAGGGCGCCGGCACGGGCACTTTCACGGGGTACGGCACTGGCTTCTCAACATGCACGGGCACGGGACGGTCTACTGGAACCTTGACTGGGTAGGGCACAGGTCTCTCTACTGGGTAGGGAACAGGCTTCTCAACTGGGTACGGTACGGGTTTGGGAACGTGCACGGGGTAGGGCCTGTCGACTGGCACCTTAACGGGGTAAGGCACCTCCTTGACAACTGGGTAGGGTGCGGGGACGTGCACTGGGACCTTCACGGGGTAGGGCACCTGCTTTTCGACGGGGTAGGGTGCTGGCACGGGCACTTTAACGGGGTAAGGTACATGTTTCTCTACTGGGTAGGGTTGGGGAACGAGGACCTTAACGGGGTAGGGCCTGTCAACCGGCACGTGCACGGGGTAAGGCACCTTCTTCTCAACAGGGTAGGGCTGGGGTACGTGTACTGGTACTTTGACCAATTCCTTGACTGGGTATGGGACATGTTTGACTACTGGGTAGGGCTGGGGCACTGGGACCTTGACGGGCACATGAACCTGCCTTTCGACTGGGACTGGGATATGTTTCTCAACTGGGTAAGGGATTGGCACGTTCTTAACCACGGTGATGGTTTTGTGCACAGAGGTCTCGTGCCCACCGTAGCCTCCGTAGCCGCCACCGTAACCGCCGCCGTAGCTCCCGCCGAAACCGCCACCTATGCCGCTGCCAAATCCACCCTCGTAACCCCCATGTCCGTATCCGAGGTTGAGCAGCCCGCGTTTCTCGACTTTCTTGTCGTCAGCTTCTGCTTCTTTGTTGTCAGCCACTGCCACTTCCGTTTCTGCTTTCTTGGCCTCTTCAGCGTTTGTGAAGGCCAGAAGAGCCACCAGACTGGCGGCCACGAGCTGAAACACAGGAGATTAAACTTTTTAGAAAAAGCCTTCGAAGGCATTTGACTTATAATAATATTTAAGAAACTAAAGAGAAGCACATAGTGAGTGGTCGTGAATTGCTGGCACTTAAGCGTTACAAATGTTTCCGGTAGACAAAGTAACTGGTACAAAGGACCCAGATTGGGTAATTGATAATACACTGACACAAGTCGGCACTACACTAAGGTCACTTGAATGTAACGCACCATGAACTTCATGATGCTGCGCTTGCTGGTTGCACTGAAGGCAGTGGAGTCCTGAATGCGAATGATGCGTGTTGCTCCGCAGCCTCGCTATATATACGCGGTACGAGCGGCGGAGCGATGAGAAAAAAAAAATGGCGCCGCACCGTAGGACCACGTTACACTTTCGCTTTCGAGGGGACGGTGCAGAAACGCTCCACATCGTCATCACCAGACTGGGACCGGTTTTGGCGCGCGGCGGCCCGCTTGCACTTGCGGCTCCTGAAATTGCAGTCAACACTGAACGTGTCACTTACTCGTAGGTCTCGTTACGGGGATAGCCAATGACGTTATGACCTTACGTACGCGGGCGTGTCATCGTGTTAAATAATCATCCTTTGAATGCAGCGAGGCAAAGATTTTCCCCAAGGTTTATAAATTATCTCAACAGTTCATCATGGCTATGTATTTGATTATAACACTTGGGTGGGTACATTTGGTATAGAAAATATTATAAGCACTAGTATACTTGCACTGAGCATAAAACGCTCAAAACGATATTTGAGTTGAACCAAAGTTTAAATTCCAATACAAATAGTTATTTGTTGTATTTATGCGATCACACATTACTATATGAAACTTAATTAACGGAGCTATCGCTTTAATTTTCAATTTAGTTTATCGAATTGAATCCTTTACGGGCCAGACGGAAATGTCGGAAAAAAAAAATTAAAAATAATCGCTACAAATGCATTAAACTTGGTTCATTTACAAAGAATTAATCATTTCTAAAACATTTCTTACGACAAATAATGAATAATTCTGAAAATGAACTACTTACTATAAAACAATGTATAAGCCTCATACACGCAGGCAGGGTGATAGCTTTAATAAGTGGGTCGAGAGTTTATTTATTGCGCAACTATCAATATACCTTAATTTTTTTAATGAAAAATGAAGTGAGGTAACAGCCTACACATATTACCCTTCACCGGCTTACACGCAGTAAATAAGTCCCTAAAATTGGAATTAACAATATCATCTATGCCTACGGATATGTACTATGGTTACTCGACAATGTACTAAAAGTATGCGTCCAGACTGAGGTATTATGTTTCTTTTAATGAAATAGTGAGGAATCATTCAGAAACAAGCTATTTTAGGTAATGCTACAATGACAAGAGGGAACTTTTCATCAAATTACGCAATAACTTTTGAATTTAATATAAAACTTATGTATTTATTGGAATGAATAGTCACAATCTAATAACTAGAAACAAGGTAATGGACTTACTTTAAGGCAAACCTTATTTTTTCGTTTATACTACGTTTAGTTTTTCGCCTTTCATCAGATTCTAAAGAGAATATTATAGCTCTAAAGCGCCGATGGAAAGGTTCTTTATCCTTATGAATTATTCCAAAATAACCTTATGGTTATCTTAAATTCTCCAATATACAATTTTTTTTTCTGGTTTTTAAGAAACGGAAATTCACAATATCTTTCTAGTTCTTTGGATGTTTTCTTGAGTATTTCAACATATGTATTTAGTTATTATTTGTTACATATGAAACTAATCATACTATACAGATTTTTCATGAATTTTCTTTTATAAACTACAGTTAAAATATATCAAAACAAATCACCTATGTCACTATCACGGTTATTATGACATTCGAAATCCACTTCCAAATTCACAAGCCTTGCGGCCATGAGTAAAATTCTAACGATACGATATTCGATATACGATGCGAATATTCTTCTTTGAAGTGGGCAAAACATCCTTGTGAGATTAAATTAAGTCTAAGTTTTAAATAATTCACTCTATTCGTCGGAAACCAAGACACTAGTGCCGCGTTTGATATCTGATCATCCTTTTCACTTTGTTGTTTTTTTGCTATTTGTTTAATTTTGTGCCATCGAGGAGTAGTTATTATTTCTTATAGTTGTTCAGGATAGAACAAGGAAGAAGAAATAACGCTTCTGAAGGTGTTATATTAATATAATTTAAACTAAAAATAATTAGGTTTGTATTCAAATGCGAGTCCGTTACGGTTGGAAGTCAGTGCGAATGTACAAATTTGAATGCAAGTCGTTAACCACTCATAAGCGAATATATTTAAAATCTAACGGTTGACTTCCAACGCGAGTGTTACAAGTATAATAACAGTATATGGTTTATACGTTAATTTATACATATTAATTAATTTAAATTTATTTATAATTTGAACTGTCTGTAGCGCAGACATAGTGACCGTCGACATATTGCTTGTCTACGACATTTGTTTAATTTCCCTCACCATAAGTTTCACTACTTACTAGTTTTATAGCAAGTGGGTTAATTTTCATTTTTAATTCACTTGGCGCTTATAGGATCGTCTTCATTAATATAATTAGTTAAGAATCCACTAATTAAGGTTAATAACGAAAGTAACGCCGACATCCGCCTCCGAAACGAAATGGCCAATACCGAATTACTTATTTAATGTTACGTAACACACAACTAACCGGACTAATAAGAATCGCCCCAGCAAAAAGTAAAACGAGAGCCGACAGTGAACGTGCCCGATCTGGTAGTATAATTGCCGTGCTGTTTGTCGAATCTAGACAACGGATGGTAGTAACGCAAATTGTATTTGTCTGGTGAGAGGAACGTTTTCGTGAAGACGCCAAACATCCTGGTAACAACCACAGATGGTTGTTTCGCATCTGGGTGTTTGTCAATTTATGTTTGTAAAACGTTCCTACAACACGGTTATCCTAAAGTAAGGGCAATGTTTTTTTTTTTTTTTACAAACAATATGGTCAAAACATAGGCTTAAGAGAGGCTTCGATAGTGGGACAACTTTTTGATAGAAAACTTACAGTAGCAAACGATCGTTATAACCTATCAATTGATTTTCAACTTCAGGAACTGAACTATAACAACATACTCTTTATCAATATGCTTATTTTAAATATTTAAATTTCGATAGCTTTCCATGCTAAAGTCCCTTTTGGAACTTTAATATGTTTTTCGCAGTCTTTGCGTTAAAGCATGGTAATGAATATAATGATTACCTATAATGTTTTAAAATGAAATCACTAAGACTCAAGTTTTATGTTTCTATAACTTCTACTTTTATTACTCATGCCAAGATTCATCTCTTTAAATACAGAATAAAATAATTAAATTGATTTTATCTACTATATTAATTTACATAGTTTTATGTAACGTTCGTTAAATGTCTCTGTACTCTGTTACACCTTAGAAGAATCACATCAAGACTCCGTATATTAGTGTTGACATTAAAAACCAATTTATGAAGTAACCTTTAACGTCAATTTAATAGAGATGGCAGATTGATATTGCAGTTTAGTTGCTATAAAATGATACATCTTACAATAGAACAATCTCATAATATTGAGATTGTAGATTTGAATTAATATTATGCTTGTACATATTTAGTGCTTGTAGGTACAAGCTCTGCGCATTGGATTTAAAATAGATAGAAAGACATTTTCTATTTGAATTTTTCTGTAGTGTCATATTGCTTAGATTAAAGTTCAAGTTTTAGGGTTTTAATGTCTTTGACTTCTGTATTTCGTTTTTCTGTATGTCGTTTGCTAACAACAGGTTCCATTAATGTCACGTTTAAGATTTAAAGTATACATGGGTTGTTTTATCTACCTTTTGCGGTATTCTGTCTATGTACAACTTATTTATTTTTATAGAAAATGCTTAAGATAAATCACTTTACCCGGTAAAGAGAGACTTGATTTAAATTGTGTTTTTTTTTCGATAAACTGTCTAAAAATTTTTTGTCACTGCAGGATACAAACCTGTTTCTTCCAGGTCACCCGTAAGATACAAACTGGGTTCTGCTCCCAGTTTCTTTTTCCAGCTCGTATTTTACCTTGGGGTTAGGTCAGCACAATAAATCATGTTGTTAATGGACAGCTAGATTTTTCTAGGCCGCCTGCCTCACATCAACCTTCCTTAGAAACAAACACGTAGATCCAGAAGAATTATCCGTGAATCAAATGATTGTCCCGTGTGGAATCAAACCTACTAACCACGGTGCCGACGCCAAAAGAAGTCAGGTTCTAAATAGCCCGACATGGATTTGGGTGTTGAAAAATGTTACAATAATGTTTTACTACGATATTTTTTAAATTAGACTCTTGGATTTTATTTAGGTAATTTAATCAAAAATCGAAAATCTGTCATTAGCTTTGTCTTTTTTTTATGTGAAGTTGCCAAACGAGCAGACGGTTCACCTGATGGTGAATACCGCCGCCCATGGACATCTACTACACCCGATGGTTACAGATGTGTTGACAACCTTTTGAAAATTGGGCTCCGGCTACCTCACTCATCAGACGAAAGGCGAAAGTATTTATCATACTTCCACTTTACGCTGGTCTTCTGTGAAATCGTGGTGCTTACCCGGATGGGCCTGCCCATTCGTGCAACAGCCGAGGCTGCTGCGTGGCCCTACCATCGTAGAATTTGTATGTTTGTTTACCTTTGTCTGTTTTACTTCAGCAGTCTGTTAATATTTTTTAGTAAGGTAATCATAAAATTCAACATTACTTTCATTTCATACACATTGTTGTTGTTTTATTTTCTTGAACCCTCTGATACTTATATAATACCAAACTCGTGCGGTTCTAGCACAATAAATTATACTTTAATTTCATACTAACTTTATTGTATTTGTGTTAAATGTTAATAAAAGTTTTTTAAATTTTTACCAAAGTGTATAATAAGTATTGGTCAAACCGTGTACGTAGGTTGAGAACATATACAAAAGATTGAAAGTTCGTAGGCTTGCATCGAAATCTACATCAATTCCAAACGTATTAAAAGCGTAAGAGAGGCCATGAGCTTATTTAATAGCGTGCTTTACGGTCATTTATTACTCAATATTTAAACAAAATAACTTTAGGATATTTTTACCGACTGCTGGTTACCGGAAATTGTTTGTGCGATTTCCTTACTTTCAAGGACTGATTAGATGATCCATCGGCGTTTAGCTAATTATCAATTTAATTG